TGTGGCTGTGGCTGCCCAGTCTCATATCCTAGGTTCAAGGCCAATGAGGGCCTCTTCCTCATGTGCTCTGAGCCTGCTCATTACATCTCAGGTGCTTATTCCTGTGCCAATCTCACATGTCAGGAGCCTTGACTTTCCAACTGGCCACACATGAGTCAGATGCTCTTCCCCTTGGAAAAAAGGTGGGGGAGCATGGATTTACCACCCCTCACTGTCATGGGCTGCAAAGTGGGAGAGTGGGCACAGATCACTGTTCCCTAAAGGATGTAGGGTGATGCTGGGCAGCCCTCAGCCAGGAAGCATGTGAAGGGGTGTCTGGAGGTGGGCAGGCAAGCTGCCTGAGCATTCCCATACATTCCTACTGCTCTGGCTGCCTCAGAGTGGGATCTGAGATGCTGTACCAAAGTCCACATAGGCTGACTGACCCCTGGGAGATGCCCGCGAAGCTAGCAGTGACACTGAGGGTTCACTCAGTACCTGCTTTCCTGGGGTGTTGGCTGTCAGACCATCCTTCATGTTTAGAGACTGATGGAAAGGACAGAACCTTAGTCTGGTAAGGGAACTGAGTAAACTCTAGGAGAAAGACTCACTTCACTGTAGGACTTGTCAACAGTGACCCTCGAGGCCAGGATGACTCAGTTGGTCCCCTGGTTCCCAGGCCAGGCTGGCATGACAGATGCTGCCTTGTTCTCAGGTACAAACCTTTGCTCCAGTTTTGCTCCAGAGCCAGGAAGGAGAAACATGTGGGCGAGGACTGTGGGTCCCCACAACTGAGCAACCCTTGGCATGGACTAATGGACGGCTCACAACCTCTGGTGATGCGAAGGGGTCTTTCTGGTAGTCTTGTCCAGATTTACCTCTCAGGGAAGTTTCCAAACAGCCCTGTAGGCATTTCTGGTCTTCCCAGCAGGGACCAGCATTCCTACCTGTCAGTAAGAAATAATGTAGTTTTGGGTCCAATTACTTAGTCAGATTTACTCCTGAGTACTCCTCTGCCTTATCTAGAAACTTGACCCCACATTCGTGGGCAGGTTAGGGCACAGCGGTTTGGGGCCAGCCAGAAGTTGGGTAAAGTATATGAGCAGGAATAAGTTCTTTTCCGTACCCTGGAATGGCTGCTTATCTGAGCTCTGGGAATGTACATAAAGGAATTAGTTATTAAACCTTCTCTGTAAATTGAAACACAGCATTGGTGAACCATGTAATTCTGAGCCAAATCAAACCATCCCTTCATAGTAATTTTCAGAAGTGGAAAGGAAAGAGACTAACAATTATTTTAGCCCTTTAATATTAAATTAGCTTGACATTAAAGACACTTTTATCTTATATCTGAAAAGAGACAATTAGTTTTCTGGTTTTTATTTTAAATCAGGGATTGCTTAATGATTTAAAAGATATCAGCCAGGGCTGCCCAGTCAGCTCAGTTGGTGAGAGCCTGGTGTTAGTAACACCAAGGTCAAGAGTTCGGATCCCCATACTGGCCAGCCACCAAAATAAATAAATAAATAAAATACATCGGCTGGCCTATTAGCTCAGTTGTCTAGAATGCAGTGTTATAACACCAAGGTCAAGGGTTCAGATCCCAGTACTGTCCAGCCACCAAAAAAATAATAAAATTAAAAAAATATTAACTTTGAGATCCATTCTAGTTCAGATCGTGTATATCTGTGTAATTTGAACTTAGGGAAAAGTGTCCTTGTGAGACAGGGAAAATTAGGTGGGGGACTATGTGGGGGACATGTGGTGACCTGCTGGGAAGCGAAAATGAGAAATATTTGTGGAAAGAGAAACATAACTCATTTCTGATCCACTAGTCCAAAGGCCACTGATACAGGGCCCCCAGAGAAGGTTGGGGCTGTAGATAACCCACTTCTCCCTAGGGTCCAGGCCAAGGGTGTGGCCTGGGTGGAGATGGGGGAAACTAGGTACGTGCAGAGCTGAGGTGGCAGTGACGCAGCTGGAGAGAAAGGGCAGTCTCTTCACATAATACTGCCTGCCAGGTCACTCCCAGGGAGTGACCATAGTGGGCAGGACCTAAAGATAAGCTTCAGAAAGGAATGTGGTCCTAACTCAGATACCAGGGCTTCTTCTACCTGTCTGGGGTGGGAAGGACACCATTAGGTTAAAACAAAACTTTTATTCTGATCTTGAACTTTGTAGAATAAAACATTGCAATACACATACCTCAGGAAATAATGGGCAGAGAACAGAAGCAGACAATTCACTGAAAAAGGAACTCAGGGCTGGCCAGTTAGCTCAGTTGGTTAGAGCGTAGCCCGATAATGCCAAGATCAGAGGTTCGGATCCTTGTACAGGCCAGCTGCCAACAAACGCACCCCCCCCCCCAAAAGAAATTCAAGTGATCAATATTATATGAAAAAATGTTTACTTTCACTAATAATAAAGCATGCAAATTGGAAGAACGAGATACCTATTTTTCCATATCAACTTGGCAAAGATTACAACCCAGTTTAAACATGGGCAAAGGATTTGAATTGATATTTCCCTAAAGAAGACATACAAATGACCAATAAGCTCATGAAAAGATGTTCAACATTATTAACTGTCAGAGAAATGCAATTCAAAACCATAATGATGTGTGTGTGTATATGTATCTACATATTAAAATGTTTGTTGACACCAAAAAAACCACGCACATATGCAATGAGATACCACATACACTATATAGCTGTAATAAAAAAGATAGACCATAATGAGTATTGGTGAGATATTAATAAACTGAAACCCTCATATACTGTTCGTGGGTATGTAACTTAGTATAGCCACTTTGTAAAATAGTCTGGTAGTTTCTCAAATGGTTAAATAAAGATTTAACCATATGACCCAGCAGTCCCACTCCCATGTCTATAACCAAAAGAAACAAAAACAGATTCATACAAAACCTTATATAAGCAGCCTTATTTATAATAGCAAAAAGTGAAAACATCCCGAATGTCCATCAGCTAATGAATGGGTAAACAAAGATGGTACTCTATATAATGAAACATTATTCAGGGACAAAAAGGAATGAAGTTCTGATACCTAGTACAACATGGATAAACCTTTAAAACATCACGCTAAGTGAAAGAAGCCAGACACAAAGGCCACATATTGTATGATTTCATTTATATGGAATGCCCAGAATAAGCAAATCTATGCAGGCAGAAAGATTTGTGGGGGCCGGTCCGTGGCTCACTCGGGAGAGTGTGGTGCTGATAACACCAAGGCCACGGGTTCGGATCCCATATAGGGATGGCCGGTTAGCTCACTGGGAGAGCCTGGTGCTGACAACACCAAGTCAAGGGTTAAGATCCCCTTACCAGTCATCTTTAAATAAATAAATAAGTACATACATACATACATAAAAACTAAATTCAAAAAGGAAAGTGGCTGCTAATGAATACTTGATTTCTTTTTGGAATGATGAAAATGTTCTAAAATCAGGTGGTGGTGATGGTTGCATAACTCTGAATATAACAAAGACCACTGAATTGTATATATATATATATATATATATTTTTTTTTTTTTTTCCTTTTTTTTGTCTTTTTTCGTGTCTGGCAACGGATCGCAACCCTCAGTGTCGCGCCCGTACCGGACCGGGACCGGCAACGGGATTGCAAACCTCGGTGCTGCACCCGCACCTCGCTCAGCCAGTGAGCGGGAACCGGTCTGTATGTGGGATCCGAACCCTCGGCGGGAGCGCCACCATGCTCCCAAGCGGCGCACTGTAGCAGTGCGCCACCGGGCCGGCCCTGAATTGTATATTTTAAATGGGTGAATTTTATGATGTGGAATTATATCTCCATAAAGCTGTTGTTTTCCCAAAAGAGACTTTCACCCAGTAACAGTGAGGGAGAGGAGTCACAGGGGTAAAGGTTGTGTACCTTTCTTTTCTGGAAGAAAATTGGGCTGGTACACAGGTAGCTTTAAAGAAGTTTAAACTTTAAATCTGTTCTAGAAATATGTCTTAAAGAAAAACTTGAAGTTTATAAAGATTCATGTTCAAAAACGTGCACCAAATTATTATATAAAAAAACAGATACTTGGAAACAATCTGTCTAGCTATAAGGAAATGATAAGTCCTAAAAAAAAAAAAAAAGGCAATATTATACAATCATTAAAATTACCTTTTTGAGGAACATTTCATAATAAAGGAAAATTCATTGATAGACTACTAAGTGAGAAAACATGATAAACTGTATGTGCCATTGTGTGGAAAAGGTTAACACAGCAGGCCTGAGGCTACTATCCTTAGGAAGGCCTGCTTGCAAGGTTGGCCCTTGCCTGGCATTTGGGAACTTGGCTCTTGGAGTTTCTCCACAGCTCTTTAACTGATAAGGTTGGTTCCTCGTACCCAGATTGATGGTGCAGACATGCAAACAATGGTTTATGGTGGGAGTCTGGAATTTTGGTACGTGCTAGGCAGAGGGTACCTTATTGATCAACCCCAATTAAAAACCCTGGGCATTGATTCTCTAATGGGCTAACTTGGACAGAGACATCGTATACATGTTGCTGTGTTTTTGTTGCTGGGAAGAATGCACTACTTGTGACCTGTTGAGGGAGGAAGAGAGTCTAAGGAAGCCTGCACATGGATTCCTCCAGACTGCCTGTGCCTTTCCCCTATGATCACCTTAGTCATGAATGTACAACTCTATGCTCAGACCTGGAACTCCTAGTGGGATCTCCAAACTTGGGGGTGGTATTGGGGACTCCCAACATACCGCCACTGATGTGGAAAGTAACATGCATATAAAGTAGATGGGAAGGAAAGAGACCAGTGCACGGTAGCTGTTTTGGAGTTGTGTTATTATGAGTAACTTTTCTTTATACTTTTCAATATTTTATACATTTTCTATATCGAAATTACTTTTGTTTTCAGAAAAGATTATTTTTTAAAGTTAAACATTTTCTGTTCCATTAAATATTGTCATCATTTTGAGAGTGACTGACCTCTGAAGGGGCATCTCTTATTTTCCCTTAGGGTTGTAACCCCCTGGCACAAACCGGCCGGAGCAGATTGCAGAATCAAAGGGCTGCTTTGAACCAGCAGATCCTGAAAGCCGTGCGGATGAGGACAGGAGCAGAAAACCTTCTGAAGTAGGTGTCTTCTGGCTTCGCTGCCTCAGCTGGGCACCCAGCCTCTCTTGAGGACTATCTGTCAGTTCCCTCAACTCCTAAGGCTGTCTCTTTCTTTCAGCTTTGGGTTTCCTACTCATTTCCAGCACCCAGAGGAAGCCCTTTCTTGCCTAGAGCTTGGTTATGTTTTTGGGGGTTTTTTTTTGTCATTTTTGAGACCGGCCGCACCGCGCTCAGGCAGTGAGCGCACCGGTCATCCCTATATAGGATCCAAACCCGTGGCGGGAGCGCTGCTGTGCTCCCAGCGCCACACTCTCCCGAGTGCGCCACAGGCTCGGCCCAGAGCTTGGTTATGTTAAAGATAAGTATTTTACCCAGTCTTTTCGTGTGTTTGGGGACTTGCGGGGTGGGGTAGACAGTGGGGCATCTGGCCTCAGTTCAGTCAGCCATGTCGATCAGAAGTCTAATTGCCGTCTTGGTGTTTGTTTTCCCTTCTCTCTGTGGGACTTGTCTGTTTTCTCCACTCCCTAACAGTATGCCTGGTATAGAAATGTTTGGTAGTATGAAGGAAGGAAGGCAGAAAGGAAGGAATGGGGCATTTCTGTTGCCAGTGGCTGCCTTTCTAATGAGAGGGGCCCACTGTAGCCAGGGGCTCTTGGTGGTGCTCAGTATTATGCTGTGGTGGTAAAGTAGTGACTTTTCAAGCATGGAACTCAGTGAAGCCTTGCCTGTGTCTAGGCAGCTATAAACCCTCCCCACACCCTTTCATGTGCCAGCTTCCTTTTGCTGACAAAGAGGACAACGTTTCTTCTTCCTTAAGAGATCTAGGAGTGACTCCTGTCAGACCCATGCCGCCTCTTGCACTGAGTATTGAGGTGGGCCCCAGCCTGCTGCACAGGCAAGTGAGACAGATGCTTCCTGGAGGCAGAAAGAGATACAGAGTGCTTGCAGGGACCTGGAACCCAAAAACCTGTCAGGGAAGGGGCTCAGTCTGCCTGCTTGGAACTGTGATTCCCTTGGAGCTTCCTGGAGAGGGGATTCCAGGGGTGGGCGTGCCAATATGTCTGCAAGGATATTGATAATGAATATTTCCAGTGGGTCATCTTCACTGTTGGAGGCCTTGGGGAGCCCAGAGCTTCTCAGGCGGTTGTTGGGAAAAACAAATATGCCAACTGCATGTTTGTAAAAGAGCCACAAGACTCTGGGGCCTTCAGTCTCTGGTGGTCACAGACATGCAGAAACAGCGTGATCAGCTCCTCCAAATGGGCCACTCCCCTGAGCACTCAGTCAAGCAGGAAGAGAGTTTCTGACAATGATCTTGGGGTAAATTAATTTCTGAATTGGTCTGTATTTGCTCCTTAGGAAAGATCTCTGAGATATTAGGTGGAGAAAAGAAAGGTGCAGGACGGCATGCCCTGCGTGTGTGTGTGTGTGTGTGTGTGTGTGTGTGTGTGGTTTAAAGGACTTACTCGTATGCTTTGGTATATGCATAGAAGGACGGAGAAAGAAGGTGTTAATGGAGTTGGCTCTTGGGAGCAAGACCAGGAATGGGGGGTAGAGGTGACTCTTACTTTTCATTCTACTCCCTTCAGTGTTTGAATGCTCTTTTACCAACTGCATGAATTACTTTTATTCATTTTTATTGTGAAATACTGCAGAGGTCCGGAAGAATAATATAAGCGATTCCCTGAACCTGCCACCTAATCAGGAATGACAATGCTGTACCTGTAGTAGTTTTGTTACTCATGGAATAGCAGAGGACATGAGGTCCTAGACAGGAAAGTGTCTGGGAACCCCTCCTCCACCTCCTTTTGTAACTGGGTGCAAGGCAGGTGGTTGTTGGAGCAGACTGGGAAAATATTCTAACATCTTGGCTTTTAAAATATCTGACTGTCCCTGTCCCAAGACAAGTCTGAACCTGGGAATTGTCAGCTGTCCACAGCACAGAGGACCTTGTGCAGCCTATGAAACTTGGGAGAGGCGCCCTGATTTGGGGACTCCTGCTGTTTGCTGGGCTGTGGTGCTGGGAAGACTGCGTTGTATTTTGTGGCCTTGGTTCTGGTGGACAGACAGACCAGCTCTGTGGCTGAGGGGGCAGCCCTGATGGTGTGGCCTCCCCAGGCATGGGCTGCAGGTGATTTGCCTGTTCATGGATTTGTTGAGCACCCCATAAGTGCAGCAGTGTTTGAAGTGCGGGGGACAAGGCTACCCGCAGTTCAGACGAAGCCCAATTTCATGATGCTTCCTAATCTCTTTTTGTAGGGGGGATTTTAGTACACCAGTAAACAAATCAGATCAGATCAGGGAGTGATGTTTTCTAGGGCGTGATGAACGGGAAATGTGATAGGGGTTGACCCAGGGTGGCACAGCCGTAGGGACAAAGGGTGGTCAGGGAGGCCTCTGACCAGGGGACTTGAGTTTCTCAGTGGGAACTAGGGCAGTTTTGTCTGTCTTGTTCTGTTAATGACACCAGCAAACAGCCTCTCTGAGGCCCAAGCCTGGCTCAAGCTCATTGTCAAGTTGGCAGTCGTGAGCTGGCAGGGTTGGGGGTGGGGTGGGGTTGTTAATCATTCTCGCAGTGACCTAAAAGTTCAATGTGCCACTCTCTGGAGAATGTTGTCAGAGGAAACCCTAAAGGTATTTATTAATCTGACTCAACCGGCACCAATGGTTTCCCAAAAACTAATAGGGCATTTTGCCAAGTCCTGCTCTGGCAGCAGTATCCCTGGGCAACAGATTACATGGCTGTTTCTGTGGGCAAGGGGTAGTTTCACGAACAAATTGGGCCCTACTACCCTGTCTGTCTTCTAGTTCCCAGATATTCTGCTGCAACCCCCAGATGAAGGTAGAGAAGTTGGAACAGGGGCAGGGGGGCCATATGGGAAAATGTCCCCAGAAATGCAGGAATGGAATGAGGGTCCCAACCTTACCTGCACTGGAAAGGGGGCATCACAGCTGGGCAAGCACTGTGAGGAGCCAGGTTTTGTGCCCCTTCAAGGTCTTTTCTATCTCTGATCCATATCAGCCAAGAGTCCATGAGCTTCCTGGAGTTTGATTAGGAAGATATCAGATATTTTAAATGTGCTTTTTCAGGCTAAGCAGGGACAATATTCTCTCTCTTCTCCTAACTCCCTTCCCTTGAGAAAAGCTGGGGTAGAAATGTGATGATGTTTCTCTGAAACTGAGATGGCCTTTGTGAAATTTAAAGTTTAGTCACATAGTTCAGTTTTAACTAACTAGTTCTTTGAACAAGGCAGGTCATTTACCCTCTCTGGGCTTCAGGTTCCCCTCTTACACTGGTAGCTGTTGGACCAGATGAGGAGTGGCTTACGGGAATCAGGTGGGCATGGAGATGAATGAATGGGGCTGGGGTCAGTGCTGTGAGGTGATAGGGAGTGGCAGGGACTGTGGTGAAGTGCAGAGCATGTGTCCTTTCTGTTGTCCCTTGGAGGGCAGGGCCAGGGTTGCCACATCTTCTAATTTCTTTTTTTTCCGGAGAAACTGGAGAGATTTGGTTTTGTTTTTGTTTCTGTTTTTAAATCTTGTGATTGTTGAATTTTAAAATATTGGTAACTGGTTAAAGGAGGAAAAAGTAACACCCTGAAAGCCAAGTGAACAATTCCCAACAGTCTTCGGTCCAGTTTGTGACGTCTAGACTGGAGGGTCATGAAATTCTAGGACAGGAGTGGCCACAGCTGTAATGAGAATGACTGGAGATTAATGACTGTTCACACTGCCAGTTCTGAAGGGACTGGTACGTGTTTGTGGAGTGCGGTGTACAAGCCCTGCATAGCTTTTGGGGCTGGCACCAACTCTGAGGCCTGCCTTCCCATACCGAGTGATGGGCTGGGAGCAGATGTCCTACCGGTGCGGCTGATCTGTTGCTTTATCAGATGACCACACAAGGGCCTGGGATAGTCCTTGTGCCAGCCTCCTGAATTCCTGGCAGAGCAGGATTTGGGAGTAGGTGGACTAAGGTTCAGCTGCTCCAGTAAGGTCTGAAGCTGGTGCAAGTCACCGGGTCAGTGTGGTTCTTGTTCCTGGAGAGACAATTTTATTAAAAGACTTGAGAGAAAAAAATTACACTAAAACAAATGTAGACACATGGGTCAGTATGCAAAATTTACATACTTCTTTAAGACAAAACATGGGGAAGTTAAAGAAATTTTGGACTTGAGGCAAAGAAGTCGTTGTCACACAGGGTCTTTGTGTGGTGGAGAAGTTCACAGAGGCTCCACGTTAGGGGAAAGAATGAGTGGATGTGGTCAGTAGTCACAGGAAATAGTTGAATGTGGCCTTCCTTCCTGTGTTCACACTTGGTGGCTGGATCCCTCAGAAAGAGTAAGTGGGACACCTTTTCATTCTTTTTTTTTTTTTTTTTGTCTTTTGTCTTTTTCCGTGTCCGGCAACGGATCGCAACCCTCAGTGTTGCCCCCGTACCGGACCGGGGACCGGCAACGGGATTGCAACCCTGGGTGTTGCTCCCGTGCCTCACTCAGCCAGTGAGCGGGAACCGGTCTGTATGTGGGATCCGAACCCTCGGGCGGGAGCGCCGCCGCGCTTCCCAAGCGGCGCACTATCCAGTGCCCGCGCCTCGCTCAGCCAGTGAGCGGGAACCAGTCTGTATGTGGGATCCGAACCCTCGGGCGGGAGCGCCGCCGCGCTTCCCAAGCGGCGCACTTATCCAGTGTGCCACCGGGCTGGCCCGATTCTTGATTCTTACATTATGTGTGTGCTTTTCATGAAAAACCCCAGGGAGCAGGCCTTCCCTTGGTGGTCCAGGCCAGAGGGAGGCCATAGAGAATCAGGGCGGGGAGACTCTGGGCACGAAAGGGCTGAAACACCCTCTGCTTCATTCTGGCTGGCCTTAAGCAACAGCCTCTAGTTATACCATCTGTTAGTAGACCCCAGGGGCCTCAAAGTATGCGCGCACCCAAGCAAAAGCTGAAAAAAGGCCCATAGAAGCCATTTGTTTTCATCCAGAAAGACAGCCTGGGTACAGTGCACCAGTATTGATGAGA